ATATATATATATATATATATATATATATATATATATATATTTATATATATTTAAATCTTAACTAAATTTTTCATTACAATATAAATAATTATGTAGATAATCCAAAATTTCAAAACATAATCAAGACTTACATTTTTGGTGTATAATTCTTGGTTTTAAATGTTGAATTTAAAAGTTTCAAATATTTTAATATTATTAAACTTCAAAGCGATACTATTATTACTAGATTAACTCAAACATAATTCCAGTAGAAAGCATGCAAACAATGTACATTTAATCAAATATAGTCTATATATAATCACGTTTAATAGTATTCAAACGACGTGAACGTGACTGCAGATATTTAGATTATAATAATATTAGATAAATGTATTATTTTTGTATAGCTACATAATTTTCTCCTATTTATTAAAATACTTAATTATGTATAAATTAAATAACTACGTATGTATTTGATAACAAGATGAACATTTTATTATTCAATAAGAGGAAATATAGTACTAGAGGAGATACAGATATAAAGATACAAGAGGAAATACAATAGGGAAATATAGAAAAATAGAAAAACAAATATATATATATATATATATATATATATATATATATATGTTTGATAACGGCAAAATTTCTTGAATAAGTCGATATTCATATGTCTAAGCACATATTATAATAATTATTGTAAGATGTTAGCGATAGAATGCTAAAGTGAAACTAATTGTAAGATAAAGTGTGTATGTCTTTCTTCGAGCGATGCAACTGAGAAAGCTGATGCTTTTCTACTTCGTACTCAGCTAGAGCTAAAAGTCTTACCGAATCCACACTTCTTTACAGCGAAATATTACTGGTGAAGGGGTGGGGGAACATCTCGATTGCGAAGGGGAAGGAGACGAAGAAAAAAACAGTCTTAAGGCGTGTGCGTTTAGCCTTCGGAAGGCGGATATGACACTCCGTGCGAGACTCACATCGGCAATAGATTAATCGGTTTAGGACTTGTCGACCGATCGATTTCAGCACCAAGTCTCACCTGACTTGGGGTGACTGCAAGGTCGGGCATCTGGCAATAAAATCAGGAGCAAAGTCCTCGAATGACGATGTTTTTCGGCGATTCAAGGATAACTATTATTCCCAATTGTATCCATAAATTGACGACATTAAGCGTTTTCCTCATCTTCGCTTGCCATATTCTTTCTTTAAATTCTCTCCAAGCACAATAATTCCCTTTCATTGTTTATTATTGCAATTATGACATTGATAAATCATTGCTGTTAAGTACATTATTAAAGTAAGTAAATTATAAAAGCAATTGGGATGCTTATTAATGGAAATACTGAAAATGATACTCCACAGATGTTTGTTAAGCTTGTTTGAAGTACTTATTGTTGAATACTTATGACGTTACATACTGTAATTATTGTATTATTATGTAATTATTCTAACAAACGTAACTATTTAACTAAAAAAATTTTAACTATGCTTAATTAAAATATAGTTATAGCCATACATATTTGTGATACTCGTAAACACATTTCAAACATTTATTGGCGACTCAGAAGAGCATAATATTGTTATTTTCATTATTTTCGTATTTTGAAATCAAATAATATTATGAGAAATAATAATATTTCTAAATTGTATTATATTTTTAAGAAACTCGTGATGTTAGAAATTTTTGTAAAAAATTTACATCATATTTTAAAATCGATATAAAAAGGGATCTTTAACTATTCATTATCGTGAAACTTTTACATTACTGTAATGCTATATTTGAAAGTAATTTATTTTTATTATTTTTATTTTATAAACGAATATATAAATAGTATACATCATCGATAAACATATATTATTATCGAGCTAAACTAGAAGTCATGAAGTAACGGTACATAACGTACTTATTATCGATAGATTCTAGTCAGTCTATGATGCAAATTTTATTTAAATATTATTGCAATAATAAATATTGATATACTTAATCAAATATTGAAAATAATTATTTTCGATTGATTATACATTAATACAGATTTTACCGGATGATTCAGCATATGAAATATTAAATTTATACACTTATTTACAGGACCGCTTATTACAAAAACAAGATACTATACTTAAAGAATCTATAAATTGGGAAGCTTACAATTCTTATTCTATATTGCAATTAAAAGTGAAATGGAAAAATGATATAATAATAATAATAATAATAATATATATGTATATATATATATATATATATATATATATATATATTAAAATCAAATTGTTTTCCAATCAGTAAATCCAAATTGTGGTAAAACTTATTTTAAATAAGTAAAATATTAATGAGATGAAAATTTATCTCATCACAAAAATTAATGCATTGACAATATTTTTATAATAAAGTTCATTTAATTAAAAAAAAAGTTTTATTTAATTCAATACGTACATGATATTTAATAATTCGTGCAAATTCAGTTATTATTAATTAAAAAATGTATAATAAGAATTGTATTAATACGAACTCTTTTCTTTTTTTATTAATTTAGATAAGTAAACAATTATAGAATTTTTTCATCGTTAATAATAAATTAAGAAATAATGATGTTAATGAGTTTTATATTACTCTGTGATTAGTGTCTCGAGATTTTTCTAAACAATCAATGCAAATTTTCCAAACTAATCATTATATATTCAGATAAATAATAAACATAAAACTATGTAGAATCTTGATAAATTATGTTGTTTTGAGTTTTAATATTCATTAGAAATCATTACTCGAGTAATATTACATGTATTAATATGTTTAAGATTAAAATTCACATAAGTTTAATTCTAATGTAACTAAACATTCTCACACTCGATTGAAGATATTATAAAATATTACAAAATCCAACAGGAATCCTTATAGATATACTTATAATCATCATATGTACTTTCACTTATGGAAATTGCATAAAGTTTCAGAGCAAAGTACAATAATAATTCTCTTTTAAGATTATTTACATCATTTTTGTATTAATTTATGATCAAATTCTATTCTAAGTATTAATTAAAACTTAAATTTACATACTAAGGTATATTCTAGTTTTTATTACGTTCCATTGATGTGAATAAGAATAAATTTTACATTTATTCTACGTAATTATTTTACAAATTGCTTCTTATGATATAATTACACCATTAGAATAATATTATCTTAATATATGATTGAAAAGAACAAGTAACATCCGTTCATTTGATCGATCTTTGCATTGAAAATAAATTCAAATTTATAATAAATAAATTTAAATAAAGGATGATCTTAATTATTTGTCCAGTAAAAGCAGCAAATATTTTGTATATTTAAGTTTATGTATCCTATAAGATATTGATCGAATCAACTTGGAATTACTAAATTCTAATAACTTATTCAAGAAATATAGATTTCATGGATAATCAATGCAACTCTCCTTACAGCAAAAGCAAAGAATAGTACGATACACACATTATTTAAGCTTTTCAGTGGATAAACGTAGAATTTCGGCTTATTGGGATATGTTGGTGGTTAGTGAATCAGTGTCTCGTTCTGCATCGATTAAAAGCGACAAGTACGCGCTTATATAATTAAACGTTGTCTTGGCAAGCCGATTACAATGAACAGGAACAAGATTGGGGATTGTTGAACATTCAACATAATATTGATAAGGAGTTCCATTCACTTTTTACGTAAGTTCGGT